CTGACATAGACAATATTTCTTAAACAGGATACAGAAAGCTCCAACCACAAAAGCAAAAGTTGATAAACTATGATACATTGAAATTCAGTTCTTCTGTAAGCAAAAGATGATTATAGTAGTGAATAGGCAACCCACAAAGAAATGGGAGATAGTCAAACTATAAATATCTGCCAGTGGACTTCTGTTCACACTATATAAAGAATTCCTAAAAATCAGTAAAAAAGGGGCCAGGGAGATGGCTCAGTGGAATAAGTGCTTCCCTGGCAAGCGCAAGGGCCTTTGGAGTATGGGGGGGTGGGGCTTAGGGTGGAAGTCAGAGTGAATTTCTCATAGAGGGCGGTTGCTATGGCTTGTGTCCAGCTGTCCCCACAAAGTCTCATGTGGTCATAGGTAGGGTTTTTCAGAAGTGGCTAGATCTAGAGTGTGATGCTGGAATCAAAGGTGTGATTACTAAACTAGTCCACTGATTGGTTTGGCACAGTCCTGGGAGTGGATATAAGAAAGTCCCCCATGCGTGTGAGTGCTACTCACCCTAAGTATGAGTAGCCTGGATAAAGTATAAGGGACAGGAAGAGGGTTGTTGCTTCACCCTTGCTGCTTGCAGCTTTGCTGCCTTCTGCCTGCCCTGGATTCTTTCTCCTTTGTGATGCCCCTTTGCCATGCTACCCTGCCTTGGGACCAGCCAACTGTGGACTGAACCTCTGCAAACCGTGAGCTGAAATAAACCTCTCCTTTTTAACTTTGGGTATTGCGTATTTTTCTCTCTGAACTGAGAGAAACTAATGAAGACAGTGGTGACAGTGCTTCATCTCAAACAAAGAATAGGAGTCTCTAGGCAGAAAAGGAGGAAGTGGCTCTTCTGGAAACAAGAACCGTGAAGAAGATTAGGGTATGAAAGGGAATTGTAAACCCATGAATTGGGAAGAAATTTTAGCCAACTGTCCCTCAGACAAAGGACTTCTATCTAGAACATATAACAAATTTAAAAAAGCAGGCCCCCAAAATTCAAAGGCCCAATCATAAAATGGGCATCTGAGATGAATGTACACTTTTCAGATAAAGAAATACAAATGGCAAATAAATATATGGAAAAAAGTTCAGGAACCAGGCATGGTGTCACATGCCTGTAATCCCAGCTCTTGGGAGATTGAGACAGGAGGATCACTGCAAGGTCAAGATCAGCCTGGGTCCTATAAAAGTGAGCACAAGGCCAGCCCAAACTGCATAGTGAGGCTCTGTCTCAAAAAAAGAAAAGAAAAAGAAAAAAAGAAAGAAAAAGGTTTGACATCATTGGTCATTCAAGAAATGCAAATTAAAACAACACTGAGATTCCATCTCACCCCAGAAAAAATGGCTATCATCAAGAAGTCAACCAGTAACAAATGGTTGGAGGAGCTTAAGGAAAAAAGAACCCTTCTGTTGGTGGGAGTGAAGACTGGTAAATCAGTGTGCGGAAATTCCTCAAAAAGCTAGGATTGGAGGTCCTATTCAAGCCAGCTATTCCCCTCCTGGGTATTATTTTTCCAGAACTGAAAATATCATAGCATAGCCATATATGTGCACCCATGTTCATAGCAGCACAATTTCTCATAGCTAAATCTTGGAAGCAACCAAAATGTCCATCAACTGAGGAATGGATAAAAGAGATGTGGTACTTTTATACAATGGATTATTAATCAGCTATAAAAAAGATAAACTCAAGCCTTTTTTAGGTAAGTGGATG